CTCTAAGACTGAGGTCTGCTTAACTTTGTGGATCATGAAGAGAAAATTGTGTAGAGCTCAATTGCACACAGGCTAGGGTTTCGCTAGAGGTGTACACATGAGCATACGTTGAGCATGGCGAAAAATGAGGGAATGAATGAAGTTGTTCCACAACGGAGCTCAAGTTGGATGTGGCACCAAGATGGTCATGAGCGGCGATCTCGAGGATGGAGCGCGGTGACACAATTGTGGTAGAGGGCATCAAATCTAGCCATGAGGCTAAGTGGATGGCGGCTGCTCTATCTGGTGGCGTAGCTATCTGGCTGTAGAGTCATGGCAGCCACGGGACTGTGAGGAGGAGCGGCGGCGAACGTCTGATAGGTGTTCTGGGTCGTGAGACCGAGTGGAGGAGTGGCGGCGCACATCGCGATCAACTAGGGCTGTAGCAGCAGTTGCGGTGCCGGGAGCCACGACGTTGTGGTGACCCGAGTCTGTCATGGATTGGGTTGTTGCGGCATCCTAACTTCTTGTTCACGCGCTTCCAACCATGGTTGTTTGGAAGGCTTCGGTTGAGTAATGAAAAAGAGGAAACATATTCCTTTGATTCAAGAGCACGTTTTGAGTATACCTCGTGCTCTCAATGAAAGCACCAAAATGTTTGAGCAAAATTAAGCATGGGGAATATTCACGGGTTGATTCCTCGACCTTCGATCTTCCTTTGCTTTCTTCCTTGATCCCTATGAAATAAATATGAGTAAATAGACCACACCCATGGGGTATTGGCCAAAGGCCCTCCGATACTTAAGTTAGTTCAATTGGATCTCGATAAAGATACGACAGTAGCTAAAATGGATGGAGTTTTCTGTCACAAGGAGAGCTGGGTGGCTAGAGCCATATGTGGTGGCACTTAGCCATGTGAGGAGAAAGGGTGAGAGAGAGAGAGAGATAGATAGGAATTTAGAATTACCTTGAATGTCTTGTGTGGCTATGTGTCTCTTTATGTGCTAGGGTTTTGGGAGAATAATCCTTATTTGGTTAGGATGATTCTTTCCCCAACAAGATGATAGGAATTGCTCCAAGAGATTTGGTGGAAATTGGTTCTTTGATTTATATATATATAATCCTAGTCCAAGCATATACCAAACATAGGACGAATCTTATTTAACTTAGACCAAGCCACGCTAATCCAAAACAATTTCTAAGCATAGTCCATTCCAAAAAAGTCATTCGTTACACAGGAAGCCCCATAGTTTATCCCATATGTATCTATTTCAAGGGAACTGACCTGCTGTGTCACAAACCACAAAATCAAACCCAAAACCAGCCCAAAGTCCATAGATCCAACCCCTTTGAATATAGAGGGCCCAATCATCAAAGTGAGGAGCATAGTTGATGAAAAATGCTCACGCACATAAGGATATGCTGTCTCTCTCTCTCTCTCTCTCTCTCTCGCTCTCGAAACAAAGAGAAACAAAACATTTTCTCGTTTTAAATTCTGATAGGTTTTGGCTGAGATTTGTGGGAGGACTTGAACAACAAACATGGGAATAAAAAACAGGTAAACCAAATTGACACCCCTCTCATATAATTTGTTAAAATATTATATAATAAAAAGTATTAAAAAAACATTATAACCATGCAAGAAAATGAGAGGGACCCAATTGCAGAGAAAGGGACAACTGTTAGCCTCAAATCTTCCACCAAATGCCAAATCTCAACCGTCAAAATACCCACATGGTCCCCCATTGTGTTGATCGACTTAACATTTTATCTCCTCGGTCTTCTCTTCTAGGTGAGGGAACATAAATCAGAAGAACAAGAAAAATGCTGAAATAAACACAACCCAACAACTAGAAAAAAACTCTCTCTCTCTCTCTCTCTCTCTCTCTCTCTTGTTTAAGGAATCAGAAACCAAGTTAAGGTAGGGGTTTAATTGAAGCTCTTTCTCTTTCTTCTTCTTCTTGTTAATTTCTGTTCCATGGAAGGCCAGATTACCGATGGGAAGAAGGCTGATGGAGCTTTGGAAGGATTTGCTCCTCTCTCTTCCACAAGGATTGATTGGAAACCCAGAAAGAGATCAGGTAGTAAGTATAATATATAGCTCCTCTGTTTCTCTTTCATTCTCTCTCTCTAAATTTCCCCAATTGAGAGCTCACCAATTCATTTGAATAATTTGAGATTTGCTTTTGGTGATGTTTGCATGATTTAAGACATACCCACCTACCCAATTATGTACAACTTAATAGCTATCATAATTCCTATGGATGTTCTTGAGGCTTATTGCATGGTTTCCCAAAATTTTATTTAACATTTTGAAGCTAAATTCCAGCATAATTCCATCTCCTTCTCATCTGATCATATTATCATTTCTAAACAATTTTGAGCTGTCACTAAAACTTATATTATAATTAAACGGATTAAAAAAAATAACACGGAGAGAGAGAGAGAGAGAGAGACGTAAAATTAAACTGTTGTTAGGAGGTGCTGACTTTGCTCATACGTTACTCTGCTGGGGTTGGTTTGCTTAAATCGCTCTCTCTCTCTCTCTCTCTCTCATAATTATATGTATTTAATTATATTTTTCTTTTCATTTTTGGCCTATAATCTTCTGTTGTTTTCACGCTTTACTCTTGGCCTTTGGTTTTGTTTTTATTTTTTCCAAAGAGTCTTTTTTTTTTCTTGACTTTGAATACACAGCACAGCATATCTAATTTTTTTTATTTACCCAAAGGCGACCATACTTTTTATTTCATAGAAAAATGCGACCATACTTTTCTCTGGTCTTGGCGTATGGACAAGTTTGAATGCTACATGTGGTATGGGCTCTATGTCTTATCCAAATTTAATTGCAAATTTATAATCTAAACCTTATTATTCCTGATCCTATGGCATTTCATTTCTTGGTTTTCGTTTTTTTTTTGTCAGTTCTAATAATTTTTTCGGCTAGCATCTTCGAATTTTTATACTTGACCCAAAAAAAAAAAAAAAAAAAAAATCTGATTGCATTAAGTATTGCCATTATTGTGCTAATTTTTGTTTTTGGGTACTGCTCATAATTTGGCACTAGGTTTCAAGTTCCCAATTCTTTGGAAACGAAAATGAAAATCTGTAGAAGTTCTTCTGTTTACACTTGTTCATGATGTGACGCTTTCCCAACCTTTGCTCATTATTACAATATGAACCTTTTTTGTTGTCTTCTTGTCTTGTTTTTCTTGTTTTTCCTGTTTCTTTTTCAAGTGTCTTGTTGGTTGGGATGCATGATTGCACTTGAAGTGTGATTTCCTCCTGTGGCTGCGGAAGAGGAAAAACCCTTTCTCCTGTTCCTGTTCCCTGTTTTACGCAACCTTTTTTACTTGTAAGGTTCTATTGGATTTTTTTTTTTTTATCTGCTACATTATATCCTCCCCCTGTCGATCAAATCATCCATTTCAGTTTCCAATTTGAAGTCTTTCCAACACACATTTTGTATTATCTTCTAGGTTCATCTTTGATTTAGTTGTTAATTAATCGCCTTTTGGCCGAGCACCTTATTTATTTTAAGAAGGATGGAAGGAAGTCCAGTCCCAGCATTTGTAAGTTGATGCACAACGGTTAAGACAATCCCAATTTAATTGAAATAGTCCAGTTGAGGTCGAGCCACCAAACGAGGCCAAATTAGCTTTGAGGGTTTTCTTTTATTAAGAATATGCCAAGTGTCAAATTTCATCTGTCTCTTTAACTGCATTTCTTCCATGATCATTTAACTGAACTGATGGACATGGCTGCAATTATGCATGGTATGCATGTATTCTATACTTCCTCAATTTTGTGGAGTGAAATGGCTGGTGCTATTGTACTCCACATATCAGTCAGTGCCTTCTCATCCTACATATCCATTGTGGTTTGAACTTTTGGTGCCTCCTTATTTTACAAATCTGCTGCATCTATCTCTAAATTCAATAGCACTAGAAAGTGAACTTGTTTCCCACAGCTAGCGGGAGGAATGTAGACAAGATAACAGAAGATACTGCTAATAATACTCCCGACAAACAGGAAGAGCCCGTCACTGAGGAGGAGATGCAGGACTTAGCTCCAGCACCTGAGCTTTCTGAACGTCGAAAGGCTCTTTTTGAACCCTTAGAACCTATAACAAATATCAATGGGAAGCGACCGTCGGCTGAATCCTTACTTCCTCCGCCAGACTTTGATGCCACAGCCTATCCTAAGGGGTGGCTGATTGGAAAAAAGCGAAAGCTAGTCAATGTTGACGTGGTTGAGAGTATGCGGAGGATCGCTGTGCAGGAAATGAACAGAAAGGTGTAATTTCTAAACACCTCACCTTTTTCTCCTCTATTAGAATTTTTTTTTTTTTTTTTTTTTTAAAGAAAAAAAAGAATGGTCGCAATAAATTAAGCTTCTATTTTGGTTTACTCTTCAGGATAGGGAAATTGATGGGCTAAATGAGCAATTGGAAGAGGATGCAAGGTGCCTAGAACACTTGCAACTTCAGCTCCTGCAAGAGCGAAGCAAACGGTCGGAGGTGGAGAGAGAAAATGCAATGCTGCAAGACCAGGTCACCATGCTAATGAACATGCTGGGAGAAGATGACCCTGTGGATGATGAAGGGCCCGACGCACCATAATTGCTTCTTTATTTGGTTTCTTGAATTCTTTTTGTACATTTGGTTGGAGAGAGTAGAAGTAATAAGAGATGCACATGTATAATATGCAGTGCCAATGCTTGCACATGCCTATTATAAAATTGTGAGTCTTGCAAAAGTCATATACCAAAGTAAATATTGAAACTATATTTGTCTTGGATAGTTTAGTCTATACTGTCAAAGAATCAAACAACATTTCATTCTATAAACGGTTTGAAGTATTTTGGTTTGTAGTCTTAAGGAGCAGCATGGCAAGCTGGTTAATAATATCAGATCAACCTATGAGCACAACAGCGTACACAACTGGTATCGCCCAAGGTGTTTGATTTATTTTCCCAAATATTCACAGACAACAAGACTAAAAGTCTTCACAAAACTCACATGGCTATAAAAGAACACTTGATCATTATACACAGAGGTTGAACAAAACGCAGAGGGACTAAGGCAGTTTGCAAGAACCAGGTCTACGTTATCAACGTATCAGGATTCTTCATCAACATACATTTCTGAATCCCTAAGCTGTACACGTTTTAGGAACAACCTGCAACTGTTGTATTCACAGATGTGAGAACCGACATAGATTTCTATGTTTTTGTACAGGGCTACACGAGGGCCGTAGATGACTACTCTCTAGCTTGATTAAATATCATAAACTTATGACCAGTTAAAAAGAAACTGAGGAAGGGATGCTATCCTAGGAATATTTAGAAGAAGCTCCCCAAATGAGTCCCTTCTTGGCATTGTCAGTTCCTGCTTATTGTCATCATCATTTGGAACAGCACTGGACTTACCTTCATTGGACTCGTCCTTAGGTGCAAGAAAACCATCTGAAACCTTACTCCCATAAGCTGATGCAGATGCGGAGTTAGTTTCAGCTGTTTTCCCATTATCATTTACATCAAAGCAGTCATCAGTTTTGGCTTGCAAGTTTAGTGTTGTAGAAGGATCCTTCTGCAAAAGGCAATAAAGGGAATTGACCCTTGACATGACGTATTGCTCATCTGAGGGTAAGGTGAATTGCGAGTCATTGAACATGTTTTGAGTAATCTCCTCCAAAACATCTCTGCTAGGTTGCTCCTTGCCAGATATCTTTCCAGAAATGCATTGTCCAATGTGGCTTACGAAATCGCTCATTGACATCGACATGGGAAGTCCAGGAACTTTCATTTGATTAAAATTGCTGGGCGTCTTTGAGGTTTCAGCTCCAAAGCTCCCAATTTTATCAATTGCAGGGGTGTCCATCACTACAAATAGAAGACAATTTAGACCCACAACAAATGTGATGCAATGCCCACATACCAAACTCAATTGTAATACTTCCACATCATAAAATATGGAGTAAATATTCATAGAATAAGGATAAACAGGTTTATGTGACATAGTGGAACTGATAAACCAGATACAAGAAGGCCACGTGCTTAAGTTGAGCAAACATTGACAACATTCATCTGACACCAATTCCGACAGATTAAGAGGTCGTAGCAAATTGTCCCACTAGCTATGGTCTCACATTTGTGCCAGACTTTATATCACATACATCAAACTTCACCCAAAAAAAAAAAAAATCACGTTATGAAAGACAGCTCTTTTTGATATGACGGTTACTCACATGATTTCTCTAAAAAATAAGTGTAAAGGGGAGTTCTATTCACACCCCACCAAATGCTGACTAGACGTAGTCGGCATGATGGGAGAATGTTAGCAAGTATTATGTTCAGTATGATTTAGATTCGAGTCAGTTAAATAATGCTTTTCATTTTATGATCTCAAGTGCTAGTTTTAAGTCCTAATCCATCTTAACCTTAGCACCAGAGGCCTGCTGTAGATGAGGCTTATCAAACCAAAGGGGCACTGATAAATGGACTTCATTCACATATTTTCAGTTTCTGACTAATTGTTTCAAATTGGACCCACAAAATAATTTCTAGTGTAAGGAATCAGTAAGTGATTCTATAACTGTTCAAGTTATTTACACAATGATTATTGACTGCTTCTGACTCAATATTTTGACAAAGCAAGAAAACAGAACCAAATTACATGGGAATGGAATCTTGAGCCCAAAAAAATAAGATGAAAATACAAGTCATGGGAGATTGGGACATGGGATTTATTCTGGATGAACAGTCCATTCAACAAGGGGATTCTGAAATTTCAGAGGTGTGCAAATTTTTTTAGCAAAGAAATTTAGCAACTTCCTAATAATATAAGATGAAGACTTCAATTGTTATATCAACGAGCTTTGACAATAAAGAAAGATGATGCATGGTTAACTAATTATGACCATATCTACCACAGTAACTCGTTTTATCGTTTACAGATTTACCTGAGCTAGGAGAAGAAATTTCCTGGGAATAATTTTCAGGACCTCTACCAATAAAATCGTGTTCATCTTTACACGGGGGCGAGTGTGTTCCAGAAGGTGATGCTGAATCCTGCAAACCAAATATAGCAGGCCCCTCCTCATTTTTTGGACCAAACCGACGTCCATATTCATCAGGGTCACCTGATACTGTAACTCTAGCATCGAAAAATGGAGATTCTAACACAATTTCTGGCTGTTGGCTTAAGAAGTTGAGACGAGGATCACACTGAATAAGCTTTTCAAAATGCTTGCCAAAAAGCAAGCCTTGCGGGCACTGCAGAAAATGGCGCCTAAAACAACACAAAGGACAAAATCACATTACAGATTTGGAACACAGACAATACCAATTAGAAACATTATGCATAATAAGTTACAAACTACCAGATCAACCTTGTAAAACTTCAAGTCTTACAAAAGCATTTATAAGGATTGCTCGAACCATAATTTCTAGAACTACTCTGTTTTTTTTTTTTTTGTTGTTGTTGCATATGATGTGCATCTTTGTATGTTCCTTATATTCCAATCATTTAAAGCCCCAGAAAATTCAACAGATATATGTTTCGATATCTTCTATAAAGGTAATATAATATATTTTCTAACAGTTGATTGCTAACGAGAAACCTCTTACTACTTGAGCAAGTAAACTACAATCCCCGACTTTAGCTTGTGCCAGTTATTAAGCACATACGCATGTGTTTCCAAATTTTACAAGGGGGGGAGACAGACAGGTAAACCAGTGGAATTGCTGAGATGGTGCTGTTCTAAAATATATCGTAAAAGGGAAAATGATATCTAGCATGTTGCACTATGGCAAGATATGACTGCGGAGATTATTTGTGTGATATAATTGTTCTGTACTTTAAATAAATTTTAACCTCATCATTCTAGTTGGCCAACCAAAGATCTTACCTTGCTTATAAGCTTCTCAAATTCTTTTAACAGTTCTCATAACTATAGTAACTACCACACACCACTGATGTATTTTTATAAACTGGAAACATTGCGACAAAGATTCATGCTCAAAGCCATTTATAAATTTCAGTAACTCTATGAATGACTACAAGGTTAGATATTTAACCTGTTTAAAGTGGCCTGCCCAGCAGTAAAATCTGATGTTGCCTGCCACAAGGTATGTTTTCTAGGTTGTGGATTGGTCTCTCTAAAGAAAAGAGGCGGTCTAGCAAGCTGCACCAGAAAATAATATTAATCTATCGTAAGAAACCGTAGCATTAGACCCAAAAAAACGCATAGCATATAATGATTTTGAAATACTGTAATTCCTTTATAGAAAAAAAAAATTACACAAAAATATGTAAACAATATATTACCACAACATCCAAAGTCCCTGGTCCATCATCTGGGTAATTTGCCTTGAGAGCCACAACATCTGACCACTGAATTTCCATCTTGTTCTTTAGACTACCATCAAGGACTTCCCACACAAGTTTATGCTTTGCAAAATAACACTTTGCCACTAGATCTCCTTCATATCTTGACTTATACTGCAACCCCAAAATCAATAAAACTTCAAATCAACATCAAAGCATATGGCATCAAATAAAATTGAATACAGAAAAAAAAAACTGTCCAATTTGGAAAACAAGAGTCCATAGAAAATTGTGGGTTATACCTCCCAAGTCCCAATCCTTAGAAGGGAAGCCGGGAAATTCATAGCCTTGAGCTTATCCGAAGCACCGGAAGCGGTAGTTCCCTTGTGACCTCTCTTGCCTAGAGTAGCCAATTTAACAGAGTTTTCTTCAGATAGCTTCATTTGGATCAAATCCAAAAAAGATGGACTTTTTTTTAGATGCAAACCGAGCGGGCTCGGTTCATCCAAGGGATGGTACAGCGAAGGAGGAACTTCAAACTTGCCAGGCCCCAAACCCAACTGCTAAGACCACCCAAACATTATGAGCAGAATTAGCTACAAAACATGAAAAATATCTCTTCTTTATGAAAACGACTGCCCAATCTGTTTGGTTGCTAAGAATGTGCAGGAAATGCAGATAATTCAATTCATGCTAATGGATATCACAAAATATTGACGAAATCAAACTATCATGAACCATAAACAGAGTATCAATTGAAAAACCACATAACATGAAATCAAAAACTGAAAAGAGATGAACACGAACCTGCGGAACCGAGTCGAGTTTGAGTCGCTTGTGAATTGGACCGAGTTGGGTGTCGAACGACTCATCGGCATCCAACTTCACCGCAACCTTTCGCGGACTCATTATTTGAACCATCGGCTCTAGCTTCCAACCCAATCGACAAATTTGCAGAGCGAGTCAAACAAGACGAACCAAAAAAAAGTCACCGAGTGAACTCAGCGATTTTCGCAGCCAGAGATGTTTCCAAAAATTTGCGTCAACGAAACAAACCCGTTCGGCTGTCTTTCCTTTCCTTTTAACGCAGAGAAGAAAGAAGCGTGTGGAAGGCCGTCACGTGCGTTCCACGTGACTTCAAGAATCGCAACGTGCACGAACAGAAGTAAATTGGACCGGAAGTTACGTAAATACCCTTAATATCAGGCGGTGACTGTACACTGGTAGGCGGCCGACGGCGGCTGATGGCGTCAGCTGATTTGGCGGTTTTTGGTCTGGGAACGAGATCACGTGCGCGCAGGTGCGCGGGTTTGGATAAAATAGTGGGGCCCGCGTCGCGAAGCTTCTCAACTAGGCGCGCGGTTGTGCCTAGTGATTGGCCGGGTGGTGATGAGTGAGTCCAATGTTTTGACACGTAAGAATTTGAGACGAGGGGGAGTCTGCTGACGTGTCCTTGTGGATAAGCTTCAACACTTGTTTGTCAAACTTTCCTTTTTCTTTTTATTTTTTTTGTTTGTTTTTCTTTTTCGGCAAATAGATAATATAATAAATGGGATATAGACTTACTTTAAACGACAAGAAGATATTTTAACACCTACTCAAAATGTTAAATTTGAATCCGATTGCTCAAGTGACAATCTGATACTTTGTAGAAATTTTCAAATCCACCTAAAATGTCAAATACTATATTATTTATTATATTATATTTTTAAAAGAAAATGACCTGCATATGATGAATAAAGCTTTAATGGTTAGTGAATTAAGGTGTGATCTAATGCAAAAAACTATTCAAAAAGCATTTGACATTAAGTTTTATGGGATGCCAATGTGGACATCAAGCTTCATGCATGCCGCCAAATTTGTGAACGTGTCAATAAAAATGATAATTAAATTACGTTACATATGACACATTAGTAGTGTGTATGTGAGAAACCCCCTCTCTTTATAATTTAGAAATCTCATCAAACGAAGATAATTAAAATCTATGTATAATATGCATTTTTTTTTTGTTCATACTTATTCTTTTTGCATTATTTTATCATTAAATTGTACCAAATTGGAAGAACTTATTGGAAAATAGGTCAATTTATTGCCATAGTTTTTTTAAGTATTTAATTTTTACATAAGTGATATTGGGGGAGAAGGGAGCTCAATGTCATATCGAGCTCAATTATTTTTTAGCTCATTAGTAAAGAACCAAGCAAAACAAAGCTCGAACTCAGAAAATGTGACCTGGGGAACTTCTATGATTGCAAGCTCTTCTTCGAGACTAAATGTGACCAATGGGAATACTTTCAAGATAACAACTTCTCGACAGACACTCAACTAGAAATCCAATAGGCGTATCTAGAGGCTCTTCTTCAAAGTAAACTCTGGTTGAGAACACCTAGACTTGCCATTATAGAAATCTCATCAAACGATAGATTTACTTCTACTTGTAGATAAGTAGTAAAATGAAGAAAATATGCGATGCGCAATAAAAATTGTAACTTCAGTGTGAGACTCATTTCTATTATTGAGAACCTCTATTTATTGCGTTAAATTCATTCATCACCAAGGTAACCAAAGTTAACATGAATTTAAGTTCCTAAGAGCATCCACAATGGGGGGTGGTATATGGGGGTGTATGTTAAATATACACCTCGAGTCACCGGAATCGTCTCCAATGGGGAGATGTAAATGGATGTAAATATACATCACCACTACGGGGATGTAAAATAAAATGTATATTTACATTTATTTTTACATCCCTTGCAGGTGGGACCCACCCGAGAAAAGAAAAGAAAAGTCAACATAAAAGACTGGGACCCACGGCTACACCCCCGAATTTACACTCCCCCAATTGGAGTAAAAAATATATTTACACCCCCCATAGGTGTAAGGGGAATGTAAAAATGGTTTTACACCCCCGAATTTACATCCCCCCATTGTGGATACTCTAATTTGAGGCAATATCATGAGAGATAATGATTTATCTTGCACTGCAATCTTCCTAAGAGTATTACTAGAAGAAGGGGCATTTTATGGTCCTCATTTCCCAGTACCCAAAAAGAAAGGAACCATTCTTCTCCCCATCCGTTTCCGGTTAAGAAGATGTGAAAGCGCATCTCTCTCTATATATAAATATAAGAACAGTGCATTTCGAGATGTGAAGTGGGAGAGAAGGGATTTCATAATTGGATTGGGGTTTTGAATAAGACGACCTTTTCATTTTATTTTTCTTTTTGAAAAAGTAATAAAAATGAAAGGTGTTAAGTTTTTTATTGTCCTGGCGTCGAGCTATTTTTCTGCAGGACCTCCCCTACAGTATCGTCACCACAGTGGAGTTTAACCACCAAGCTCGGGATGGATTAATGTGGTTCCTTTACGCCTAAGACACCAAAATATTGAACCATGAACAAAGAAATGCATGAGAGAAAAGCATAACCGAACATGGAAATAAACATCTTTCATTCACATCTCCTAAGATTAGATGTAGGAGTTCCATTCCCAATAAGTTTACTGTGCAAACCAAATGAGCCTTTAGGACTTTATTTACTGATCTTGTCGAGTTTTGTACTTTTATAGGTCTCTCAGCCGATCTAATCATTAGTGGCCCAAATCCTTATAACTTCAAGATTACTCTATCATATGACAATTTAACATGTTTCTTTAATGAGCTAACTCTTGCGATATTATGATGGTGGAACAATATCATCATATTCCAGTCATTGGGTCATTTGCTAACTATATTGGGCCTTAATCTAACCATTCTTATCAGCCCAAAGGCCGTGCTTTTTTTTTTTTTTTTTTCTCTTAAATTTATAAGGAAAATATTCAATTACAAACATAAACCTCGAGAGCATGCAGACCAAAACAAATCAAAGTAATAAAGGAAAAAGCCTAGAAGGAGAGAGCCCATGACCAACATTAGCCAGGGCATCAGTTGTGAAGTTAGCCTCACAAAAAAACATGCTTGAAAGAGACCTCCTCACACAGGGAACATAGCATTAAAATATCCTGAGTTAGCAACTTGATACTCCAAGGGATAGAGGCAGCTGATTAATGCAGTCAATGACAATCTTAGAATCACCTTCGACCAACACTTTGCCCCAGCCATTATGCAAGTTGGTACAATTCCAAACTGACTTGGTAAAAGGACAAGTAAAGAATAGGTGGTTAATGGTTTCACTATGATTTTTACAAAGAGGGCATTCAGGGTCCACAGTTAGGATAAATCTATGTAAGTGACTTCTGACTTGCAGTCTTTTCCGAGTCAGTAACCAAGAGAAAATCTTCACCTTATGGGGTAAAATAAGCTTCCAAATTTTCTTCAAAAGAGTAGCCTGAAGGTGAGAAATTTCTTCCTGCAATTGAACATTGTAAGTACTTTTGATAGAAAACTTACTACTGGGGTTAGGATCCCATATCAATTGATCTTCGAGGGGGATAAGGGTAAGGGGATAAAGAGAATTTTATCTAAAACATCTTCATCAAGAACTTATGATAGTTTCTCTTTGTCCTATGCCTGATTCTGAATAAAAATCACAGACAAAAATATTAGTATTAGTGTTGCCTCTTTGAGTTAAAGGAATCAGATCAATTAATAGGAAAGGAAAAACCCAATGGGTTGTCCAGAAAGGAATAGACTGACCATTTCCCATAATCCACCTGATCCCTTTATGGAGGACAGATCTTACATCCAGAATTGCTTACCAAGCTGAGGAATGAGAATTTTTTTCCTAAGGGCCAAGAAATGATCCCTTTTAAGATACTTTCTTGTTACAGTTTGAGTCCACCAGTTAAAGTTATCAGTTAAACAAGTCCAACTCAGTTTAGCTAAAGTTGCAAGATTGAAATGGGAAGGAGATTGTACACCAAGCCCTCCTATTTCTTTGGGAAGGCAAACATCCTTCTAAGAAACAGGAGGAACCTTAGTGTTGCTTCCCCAAAAAAAATCTCATACAGCTTGTGTTCATTACCTTAGTAAATTCTTTAGGACACTTGAAACAAGAAAGTGTATGATTTGGAATACCATAAATACTTGCCTTGATAAGGGTGAGTCTACCAGCCCTTGAAAGGGTTTGAGCTTTCCAACCAGAAATTTACCTTGAATTCTTTCAATCATAAGTTTAACATTGAGGGGATCCTTCTAAAAAACAATATTGTTAATGCCAAGATGGCGTCCTATAGTGGTTTTGTGTTGAATTTGTAAGAGATTGCTTAGATGAGTTTTGACACTTGTAGTCACATTATTTGAGAAAAACACAGTAGATTTATGCAAGTTGACTTCTTGATGATAGACTTTGGAAAAGAAATCAAGTAGTTTTGTGATATTTCTGAAGGAAATTGAGGTTCCACCCCAAAACCCATTGGCAATGGGGGGAGTAGCCTAACTCCTTAGGAACCCAGGCTAGGTCCCTTAACTTTTCAATGTGGGACAAATACTCTCAACACTCCCCCGCACGTGCGGTGAACTTTCAAGCCTAGCACGTGGACAACATATATTGGGTGATGTGGGAGCACGTGTGACCGTTAGGCTCAACACGTGAAGCTTTGCTCTGATACCATGAAGGAAGTTGAGGTTCCACCCCAAAACCAATTGGCAATGGGAGGAGTAGCCTAACTCCTAGTAAACCCAGGCTAGGTCCCTTAACTTTTTAATGTTGGACAAATACTCTCAACAATTTCTAGCTGCCATAGAAGTGGGTCTTGCAAAAATTAAACAATATCAACAAAGACAAGAGTTGAAATGCGAAAACCCCCAGGTGAAGAAAGTAAACCCACATTCGACTTAGTAGAAGTAGAAAGCAGGTTGAATTGCTTGATAAAAGGCTCTATGCACAAAATGAAAATATAAAGGGATAGAGGATCCCCCTGTCTAATTCCTCTCGAAGCAGTAAAATTTCCATGAGCCAAGAAGATTAGAAAAAGAGGAACTATTTATGCAATTCCTCTAGATCAAAAGCCAAGTTGTAACAAGCATGCTCTGATATAAGACCAGTCAAGAACATTATAAGCTTTTTCTAAATCTAATTTAATAGTCATGGCTTCTCTAGAGCCCTTTTTTACATTTGAAATCTTGAAA